ACTTTCTCAGGTTGTTGGTCTGATCTGCCTGACCCCAGAGCAACTCAAGAATGTGCTGATCACCTTTCTGATGTTATTGATTTTCTCAGAAAAGAAAGAAGCAAACTCACTGCACTTGCTGTCTGAGAGCATTTCTATGGGAATCTGGCTTGGGGGGTTTGTCAGTCTCTCTACAGTAGCAAAAAGAGTGTGTGTGTTGTTTATATTGCTGTTTATAATATTTGAGAAGAAAGTCTGTCTGGCTTTGCCTAGTTCCCTATTGAAAGCGTGGATGCTGTCTTTGTAGATGTTATAATGGACTACAAGTTTTGTCTTCCGCCACATGCGTTCTGCTCTTCTGCATTGTCTTTTCATATTTTGCACAGCTGTTGAGTTTCTCCAAGGTGCTTTTTGTCTGCCACTATTCTTCCTGACTTTAACAGGAGCAATATCATCAATTACACTCTTAACTTTTGAGTTAAAAGAATCAAGGAGAAAATCAACAGAGTCAGCAGATATGCTTGGTTTTAAAGCTATAGCCTTCATAAAATAGCACACCAGTGTTTTTCATTTAAGCATCTCTTCTTGACAGACACAGCTCTAGCTTCAACGGCAGGAGAGATTAATATATCAAAGAAAAACAGAAATGGTCAGACAGTGCTACATCCTTAATAACAATCGATGAGATGTTTAAACCCGTACTGATAAGTAAATCTAGAGTGTGTCCACGATTGTGTGTGGGACCGTGTACATGCTGTGTCAGATCAAAAGTTTTTAAAACAGTTTTAATATCTTTTGCCATATTGTTTTCTGCGTTATCTATGTGAATGTTGAAATCTCCAGCAATGGCAAAACAGTCAAACTCAGAGGCAATTGTTGATAGCAATTCAGTAAAATCCTCAGCAAAGGCTGGAGAGTATTTTGGAGGCCTGTAAACTATGATAAGTAAAATACGTGGAGCACCTTTTAACACAATACACAGATATTCGAAAGAGGGGTAATTCCCAAATGATATTTGCTTACATTGATAAACATCTTTAAAAAGAGCAGCTAAGCCGCCACCTCTCTTACCCGCTCTGCAGACACTCATATAAGTAAAATTTGGAGGGGATGTTTCGTTTAGGACCGTTGCACTACAGCTGTCTTCTAGCCAAGTTTCAGTTAGAAACATGAAGTCCAGGTTGTGTGTGGTTATTAAGTCATTGACTAGAAGTGATTTATTTTTAATGGAGCTGATGTTTAAAAGTGCTAACTTTATAGTCTTACTTTTTGTCCTCACAGCAGTCTTAGTTTGGCGTGTAATGGGCACCAGATTAGATGGGTTTGCTGTACGGCTGTTGAAGGCCTTATATTTTTTTAGATCATGTAAATGAACAGCAATAGAGAAAGATTCAGGGACACTGGGTTCCCGCTTGTTCTGTAAACATTTGATAAAGTTATTGTTTTCATAGCGAGGAACCGAAATATTTCACTTAGAGCTGGTATCAGTTGTTTTTGGTTCACCTCGAGCCGATGGGGGAGAGTGTGGGCCCTGGCCCTGGTGTGGGAAGGCGAAAAATGCACTAGATACTTTTTCAAGAAAATCATTGATAGAGGTGGAGCAATAGTCAAACTGAGAAATAAAGAAGGAGAAACAATGACAGACACAAAGTATATAATATCAGTGGTAGAAAGTTTTTATGAGGAACTGTATGAAGAAAAGGTAAGTGATGATAGCATTTTAAGAGAAATTTTAACAAACATCGAGAAAACAGTTAAAGATGATATTGCAATGACAAATGATTTTAATTTCTCTGAGATAGACAAAAGTATTAAGAAATTCAAAAAGGGAAAACTCCTGGAGTTAATGGACTTCCTCTAGAATTTTATTTGACCTTTTGGACATTTTAAGACAAGACTGTTTTTAATGACCTTGACAAGACTGACCAACTCCCTGACAGTTTTGGACTGGTTTAAATGACTTTACTTCACAAAAAAGATGTCAAGACTGATATAAAAAACTGGCGTCCTATAACCCTTTTAAACTTTGATTGTAAACTTTTTAGCAAACTTTTAACAACACGTTTATCAACAGTTTTAGCAGACCTGATCCACCCGGATCAAGCCTGTGCTGTCCCTGGGAGGAAGATCACGGACAGCCTTATTCTGATAAGAGATGCCATCT